TATATATTTAATGAAAATAAGCAGAAAAATGCATTCCAAATTAGCTTCCTATGATAGATTTTGTTTTATGTCAGGACTTGAGCCGGGATAGCTCAGTCAGTATAGTGACTAGCTACGGGCTGGACGGCCGGGGTTCGATCCCCGATGGGGGCAGAGGATTATTCCTCTAGCCTCTGCGTCCAGAAAGGCTCTGGGGCCCACGCAGCCTCCTCTACAATGGGTACCGGGGTCCTTTCCTGGGGGTAAAGCACGGCCGAGGCGCGATGCTGACCACTTACCCCCATCTAGTGCTGAGGTCAAGAATGAGTAGGAGCTATACCTCCTCTCCTCCCCAAGCGCCTACATGGCGTATAGTGGGACAGCTTTACTTTACTTTTTACTTTTATGTCAGGACTTTGTAGTGTCCATTCTAGCAACAACAGTCTAGTACATGGTGGATAACACAAAAGAAATTAAGCCTGCAAATTTATGATTATGAGTTCTTTCACACCCTTTTCACTAGAATCTGTAAACCTTCATTATAAATAAACTCACTTTAAGTGAATAAGGAGATCAGTAATAAATAAGGCTGCTGCTCCAACACAGGCCACCAGCAGCATAGGATTTATTCTTGGCAACAGAAATCCACTAAGAACAGGCACCACAGAGCATATGCTAGAAAAAGATACACAACATGCAGAATACACCCAAGCTTTATGGAACACTTGTTCATTAAACTAGTCAAGAAATTCCTCATTTTGATTTGGAACCCAAAACACTGGTATCTTCACTAATGCCAACCACAGGACATACATACAAGCTGCCCTGTCAGGATATATGCAGGAGGTTTTCCAACCAAAATTCTGTACAGTCTTTCCTCCAGCCATATAAAATACAAGTCCCACCCACCTCTTCTTTCTTGATTTAGCCTTAGCAATACCAGAAGATACACACTACACTCCTAATTTTTTTTATGCTTATTTTTGCATATCTTTTGTATTCAATTATTTACAGTTACAGTTATTTTTATAATAGATGCCTTTCTGTTTAAGTAGAGATTATTCTACCCTCCTGTTACTTCATCTGTTGAGGACCAAATATTCTCCTTAACACTTTGCCCTCAAAAACCCTCAGTCTATACTTATCCTTCCAGTTCAATCTCAGTCCATCACACTCCTGACTGGTCAACACAAACACTCAAGTCCAGCAGGAGGGACACACCTATGGCTGATGTCTGACACATGTTCTTGCAGCCAACTGGATGAGGAAGCTGCTATCACATGGTCCAGTGCAGCATTATTACAACCATAGATGACGACAATATGACTCATAAAGGCAACTCCAGTTCCCATCATCAGATGACCCCTAGCAACATTACCATCAGATAGATCAATAAAGCACAGCTTATATAGTGCTTAAAGACATGGAAAAGTTGACTTGTTTCAATAACATTCTCTTTCCGGTCAATTATCAGTCCCTGGCTGAGTAAAACTAATGTGAGCCATGAAATAGTTCCATTTCTTAAGGAACATTTCTCCTATGAATAATTTTTAGGACATGAAAAATGTATTGTTGTAACTATACAGATTGCAAATACATGTCAACAATATACCTTACCATTTCACATAATTCTGTGATGCACATACCATCTGACTGCATAAATGAGTAACTCAATGCATACTTGCAGTCATAACAACAATCTGATTCACATAAGAAATTGAAACTCACGTGTGTATTTCTGGCTGTTCAAGCACCAGTCTTTCAATACTTTCTTTAACAATAAACAAGGAACCAAGCTGAGCCAGTACTGTACTAGCAAACACTGCCAAAACTTCAAATCTCTCATATCCGAAGCTGAACAGAGGAGTTGGCCCATTTCGCTCAACCCAGATGGATAAAATGCTAGTCATCAGACTGAAAAGAAAGCAGCAATGTCTTACATTGTATTTGAAAAAAAAAAAAGTTTTGTTATTATATCTGTGCCAAATTACTGAAAACTGCAAGGTAATCAGAATTTTAATTGCCATGAATTGTTCTTCAGGTTTCAAACATGTTCTCACAAATAAATGAAGAAAGTTATTATGCACACTACACTTTAGTTCACTTCAAAGTAATTACAGAATCTTCACTGACCTTAACAAATTGAAGCCGATAGTATAAGTGTAGGCTTGCAGTGCTGCAAAAAAAACAAAAAAAACATTGGCACAGTTACAGGACAACAATCTTCAACAATGAACTGAACTGATTTTATCAGAATAGGGATAATGCAACAAACAACTTCTAGGTTACATCAAAACACTTCTGTGACATTCATACCACAAGCATTTTCCCTTGTGGTACAAACTACCTAACCAACCAATTCCTTGATAATAAAACTGTAAGGTTTAACACTATTAATATCAATGCCCACAACTGGACTCCATCTTGAGCCAGGTCAATCCAATTCACACTCTTAAAACTGCTTATAAAATAACCCTTTATTATTATCCTCTAATCTTCTTCTTGGGCTCATAAGAAGCAGATTCTAGAAGTTATCTACAAAAATTCTGCTTTTTTTCCATCACCCAAAAACATGCCCAGCTCAATATATAAAGCAATAAATTTCATTTTTCAAAGTTCATCAATATATTGCACAATCCTTCAATATAACCCCTGAATGACCAATATTACTGTGCAATATGATTTACTGCTCAGTATATTTATAGCTTACAGGTACCTAAACAATCTGTTCTTCTGTTCTAGTCACCACATAACCAATAAATATAAAGAAATTTTACTTAATCATCTTCACAATGAGTCTAATCCCTTGTTCTGTGACTAGGTGTGTTAGTCATGGCACAACGACCCAGATCACAGTCTAAACTGACATGAAAACCTCAAACTCTTATGTCATCAATTTATATTTCTGTTCCATAGTGGATATAACAAGACCCAGCACAGCAGAGTTATTCCTAGAGGCACAAAACATAAGCCATCCAAAATTCTTGAAAAAATATTATTATTAAGTTCTTGAATTTGCTGGACTCTTGAGATCTTTTTTATTGCTGCAATGGGTCTCTGTGAAATTGGGATGCTAAGAGGCCCACTGTTTTTTTTAAATTTCACACACTTTCAGATTAGATTCAGACACATACAAACTTCAATCATAGCATCAGTTTTAATTTAGAATGACAGTGCCTTCAGCATCATAATTATGGAACCCTACAAACTATAACAAAATATTTAATATTTAACAGCCATATCAACATTTCATTTAACAAAGATATAGTATCTTTTGTATTATTTCAGTATCTTTGTCTTCACACACTGTCCTGAAAATACACAAACTTTTATGCAAGTTAAACATTTTAAAATATAATGTTCTCATAAACAAAGAGTCCAGATACTTATATTATAAGAATACTGAAAGAAAAATAATTAGGTAACACATACCCATACTCTGTGTACTTGTGCACCATGCCAAAAGTATAAAGACACATGTCATGTTAAACATCACAAGAAGGCTGATGAGCTTCACCTGTCTCTCTCTTGCAAGAATTACAAACTGACTGGAACAGGCTGTCAGCAGAGAGGATGTAGGGTATGACTGAAATAGCAAACACAACAAAATCAAAGTCCTGTATATCTGTGTAAGACTTGAGGTTCTCACAGCGGTGAGTATGAAGATATCCGTCTTCTGGGTTATTGCCCTGATGACGGAGGTATGACCTCTGAAACGTTGGTTAACATCGACCAGACTACACAGCGCAATAACCCAGAAGACGGATATCTTCCTGTATATCTGTTTTTCATATATTTCATCTCTGAAGCTATAAAACAGATATTCATGAAATTATGTGACACTATACACTAGAAGTTGGATCACTTAATTACAGATATCCCCGGAGGAAACCTCCGTGTTGCATAGACTACGGCCTTGCCCAACAAAAGTTATAAATTCGGGCACCGCCGGGAATCGAACCCGAGACCCCAGGATTACAAGGCCAGCGTTCTAACCGCTAGACCACCGTGGCGGTGATATATATATATATATACACACATAAACATGGTATATGGAGTCATAAACTTCACAACAATGTAAATGTGCATGCAAAAAGGAACATCATGGTCAATGTGTTTTGCAAAATTACAAATAATGTATTTGTAAAATGTAGGGTTTGAGGCTGATGTGAATATAGATGGTGATCTTCTGGAATGTTGCACACTGTTACATTTTGGCTGTGTGCCAACATTTCAGAGAATTATAATGCTTCTATCTTTGGCCTTGAAAATAAAGGCATTTTGTTCCTTCTTAACTTGGCATGCAATCAAAATGTTACATGGTGCAATAACCCAGAAAACAATTTTTTTTTTTTTGGGGGGGGGGATATCTGTACTCCAAAATGAAGCACTTTTTCACTATTTTTGTAACTGAAACAAAAACAGTTTGAATAAGTGTCTGCCTGCAAGTTACTGGACATGGAAAACCTTACCTGAGCACCAACCATGACTTACTTATTGGTTTAAAAACTGGCAAATAGTTTCAAAGGGCAGTATGAATATGAATTATGAAGGCTGAAATGAAATGGAAGGATGTAGAAACAATCTGCCATGGTCTATTCATTCACTTGGAGAGACTGAGAAAAACTTGTCATGATAATTGACCTCCTAGTTGAGATACAAAGTGAGAATTTCCCAAATATGAAACAAGATATGTAACCACTACACCAGAATATTGAGTAACATGAAATCAAAGAGATGTAACATGTGCCAAGTGAACATGAAAACCATGCAATATATGATACCTGAATAATTCATGTTCAAAATGGCCTAGATCGATGACATGACATGTAGAACGGACTCTGATAAAAATCACAAAGTTGGGTACAGAATTTACAGAATCCAATGCATTGTCAAACACAAAGCTGTGGATAAAGAAGTCTATAACATGCAACTACAACATGTGGCCTGACTGCATGATGTTATCAGTAAAACAACCTCACAAACAAACAAGGAAAATTGTGGTGATGGAAATCAATAAAAATATAATGATTCTATTAGTTTAGCTAACAGTATTAGTAATAATGTCAGCAGCACAATAATAATTGTAATTCAGTATAAACAGTAATAATAATGATAATATGGAGTGAGTACCTGAGTTTTGAAACTGGAAAAATTTGTACTAGATGCAGCAGGTCTCAAACCACATGCAACTGGCACAGTAGACTTGTTTCTGACAACTAACAGGCCCTCAAAATTAGCAAAGTAGGGTCTGAATTTAGTGGGAGTAAAGGAGGTTGCATGGAGGAGAAGAAAATTTCTTTTTACCAACTGATAATGGAGAAGCAAATATTAATCATCACATTTTCATAGTTACAAGCAGATGAAAGAGTATAGATTATAGTGATAATCTGATAATGATCATTTCTAGAATTAGACTGTGTATATATATGACGATTTCCTACATGCCATATCTAAGATTTCTCTGGAAATTAAAATTGCAAAAGAGGGAGGGAAGGTATTTTCATGCCAACATTTAGGAATCTTGTCCTGTGTTAACATATGGGAATGAGACTTAACACAAAAAGAGCAATGGCACTGAGATGAAGGTAAAGAACTCTTGTTACATAAAGGAATCTAATTGTCAAAAGAAAACATAAGTATACCTTGACTTCTGACAAGAAATCAAAATGAACACATTTTGAAATACTCAACCACATCAGACATCTCATAATCCAAAGTACGCATCTCACATTCTAAAGAATCCATCCCACAAAATGTACAAGGCAGAGTACCACCAATGTGGACGTTTCCATCAAAATGAAAACACATAAATGTTGCAAACAAGAAACAAACAAATACAAAGATTTTCTTCTTGGCTTGTTGGAAATTTCCCTACCAAACAGTTGCTAAAACTGGCCTTGAGTAACTCTTTCCTGAACCAGCTGCTGTCTATAATACTTCCACAGACAGTGATACACACCTCTGACAACAGTGTCTGGAATGAAGACAACACACCTTCTTGGTTCCATGATCCTGTAATTGAGAGAGAGGACAACTTCATAAAGTACTACCCACAGAAGGATGATCTGCATTTTCAGTAATGTTTTCATATTTCTGAAGTGGGTAATGGGATAGGCACTGTAAAGGCTTCATTACCACTAATACACATTTATTAATGAAGTAATACTGATTACTGTCAACTTCCAGATTGGTATCTTAATCAAGAGAAACGACTGACACTGAAAAAAGTAGCCTCATATAATACATTATTAAATAAATGTAATATTCTTCCTCTGTGAAAGTTACAGAGAACAAGAATTTTAATTACATGATAATGTTTTTTCTTAGGCTCTCTCAAACATAAACATAGTTCTATGCCCATTCCAAACACACAAGGAACTGCAACCTATACCATTAATACTTTGATATTCTAAGAACCAATTACTTATTATAGAAGCTATAGTTTTAAATACAAATACATAGAAACTAAAATCTGTGTATACAACAAAACTTCAAGGTGCTTACTTTCAATACTTCCCATTTCATTCGTCTTAATACCTCAATAAAAGTCTCGTTTGAAACACGAACATTCCACCACAGAATCTGACATTCGTACTTTTAAAATACGATACTTGTAACCATGACACGAGGTCAGAACCACATGGTATGATCTTGCTGCACATTCACATGGTCGTTCGTATCTGGCACAAAACCAACAGACTGTGTTACGCGTATCCCTTAATCGTAACCAACAGGATGAAAAAATACGATAAACAAGTAAATTACCATTCAGTTTTGTTGAACTGAGAATATGTTCCGTCCCTGACTCAGACATAAATCTTAGACGACAGTACAAAGAGTCGCTACATCGTAATGGATTCACCGTGATGAAGCCATTAGTTAATTCAAGACAATGCTTGCAACAGACTTTGTCATCTGTGAAATAAAACGCAAGCGACGTATGGCTGAAGTTGGCGCGGAAAGCGCGTTAACTGAAAAAGTTGTTCTTACAGTTTAATACAACCAGTAATCAATTTGACGTATATACTAGAAGGAATTAAGTTTGATTGAAATTATATTTCTTTAACTGCCCTTTCGAAAAATGGATTTTCTTGCTACAGTTCTGGTGACAGCAGGTAAAGATATTCAAGTTAATGTATATAACCTCTAAAGGGCACCAACGGTCTTCGTTTTTAAATGATTTGCAGAATATGGTTTGGATCCTACACTATATCTCATGTCAAGACGTTTGTGATCGCTCGTTGCCTGTTCCTGGTCAGTAAATAATTTAAAATTGCAGTTAAAAATACATTTGCTTTCTACTATGTTTTGTTTATAGCTTACTATGTAGCATCGAATGATAGGGTGATAGGTGAACTGTAAAGGATATGGAAGCCGTCGTCCCAATCTGATAGTTTTGGCATTTGCCTGGAGGGGCTGAGAAAAGACTATAAAAAGACCTTACGATTGTGTGTTTACAGGCGGAGGTTTGAACCGGGAACTTGCTGAATAAGCAAGAGTGCTAACCAATCGGCCCCAACGTCTTGACCCTTTTTGTTGAATATTTTTATAAAGAAATTATTAATAGACTGATAATGTGTCTGTAGATTTCGTATATAGTTCTGTGTGTGTGTAACCAATATGTGGGCAGTGAATTATGTGTATATTAATTTAATAGGTACCATAGTTTGGTAATAAACATACTTGATTTTTAATGCACAATTTTAGCAGCTCCTAAATGAGGTGTATCAATGCAAAGAAATGTTTAATAATGTAATTAGGTCTGTTGTAATGTCTGTCTGACAGTATGTTTTAATAAAGGTATTGTTTTTCTAATTATTTTATGAATTGTAATATATTGTAGACTTGTTCAACATCCTCCATACTAAGACCAATGGAATGCACCTATGTATATTTACCGTAACTATCGAGGACCATATTCTGCACTTGTAAAAGATGTAAACAGTACATGGACACATGGCTTCTCCCACTGCACGTTCTACTATGCTCAATGTACCATCCACTTTCTCATTTTCTGTAAAGATGATGATGATGAAGCATGCTATACTGATGTAGGTTGATAACAATTGATACATCTGGAAGTTGTATATAGTGTAACACAACTTGTAACAGATTTGCACTTATAAGCATATAAGACGAAACATACTTGTGGAAACAGTGAAGCATAGATATTAAAGTTTGTGGAATAGCAGAAAGGCAGTCACTGTCTGGACTGTTTAAGAAGAAAATAGTACAAATACAGGAAGAAATCCAAATGAACTGTGTAGAAAATAAGCTTATGCTAAATTAACATGAAATAAACAGCAAACTGACAGAATATACCAGCAACTTCTGGTACTTGTGAGACTTCAATAAACTGCTTTAGTTCTATGTACTTTGTTGGCTTCACTCATGAATTCAGTGTAGTGACAGGTAATAATACATTTTTGTTTGGTGTCATGTTACTGTCATGTAGTTAACTTTAATGAGGTTTTGCCTGGAATAGCTTCTAATTGCATGCAGACAGATTCAGAGGCATGTGGCTGCAGTTAGCACTCCAGTGGTTGACAGCTGGTGGACCTAACATTGCAGCAGGAGAATGCATGCAGTATTCACCAGTTTCACAATGTTTATTTCTACAATACATATATCTTGGTCCTTCAAATGCTCATCAGAATCACAGCGTTCTTAGGTGTCTCTTTTGTTTCAGGTCAGGTTGAAATACTGGACCTGAACGATAAAGTATCTGATATCACTCAAAAGATAGCTTCATTAAAGTTTGAAGTAATGAGTATGATGGAAGATTCATATGTTACATTTAATGTGCTACATCAAGAGACAATTCAGTTGGATGGCAGAGTGAAGGAACTGTCCAGTGAGATGAATCAGATCTTGACGAGAGTTGAAACTCAGGTTCATATGTAACTCTCAAAAATTAGTATGTATGGTTATTTAAAGATGCTGTTGCAGCTGCAGGTGTCACTGAATGGTATATAAGCAGAGGGATGTGGGAGGAAGTACTCAGCCTATTTGATGGCATCCTGGCAATTGGCAAACTGGTTGGAACAATGATAAAATAAGTGGCGCATATTTTGGGAATTTTGAAATACATATCATAGCTCTAGCTGTCTCAAATGAGGTATTGCTCTTCTCCCTTGATATAGTTCATGCCAGCTTCCTTGCCTTTTCATGTAGTTCACAATGTCATTTATTCTTGCTGACTGCAATGTATCATCCACAGTTAAAAGTGTTATTCAATAAACTAAGTACCAAAGTCCCTTCATACATTCATTTGGAGGATTTACAAAGGCATTGAAAATCTAGATAGTGCTATAATGATCTGGATCTAAATGAAATGAAAAAAAATTAAAAATTTATAAATATGTAAATGAATACTAAACTTTGCTGTAAGAGACCAGATGACTTTGGTGTAGATCAGAGAATAATATTAAAATGTATTTTAGAGGTGGTTGTTTGTTCCACAGACAAAACAAGGGCTTCAGAACTCAACAGGTGAATTGGAAAGGCTTTCCACATCACTCCAGGAAGCAACTATAACCATGCAACTTGTTCGTTGGTTGGTTGATATAGATACTGTCATTAAAGCAGCCAAACAGGCACAGATGCAGGATTGCTATTTTGAAGCAGCCAAGATGTTGAAGAGCATTGGTTCACTCTTGGAACAGTGTTCTGATGCTGAACTTGAAATATTTGATGCTCTAACCTCAGAGAAGGCACTACTTGAAGAGCACTTCCTGTATGATATGATGGAAATTTGGCACTCTTGCTTGAAATGGGAGGAAGTAGATCCAGAAAAGGGCTTGAAAAAAGTCATCCTGACGGTGGATAAAGAAAACACAATGAAAATGGAGCAAATGATGCAAGCTCTGAATTACTTTAAACACCTAGACTTCTATTTGAGGAAATTTGGAAACAAAGTGCTGAAGTACCTGTTGGAGCCACTCATTACACAGAAGAGTACTGTTGAGATCCACGAAGGAAATAACCTTGCCATTATTAAAGTGGAATCTTATGCTTCTTCTCCAAAACCACATTACACTGTTATCTTTGCTAATATAGGGGATGTGTTTAACTTCTTGTATTCTCATTTGAATGTTGTCATAGAAGAGAATGTGACTCTCTTAAATAAGTTGGGGGAAATGATTTCTGAAGAATTCTGTGCATTTCTCATAAAAAACTGCTTATGTGATACAATCCCAAGTCACAGTAATGATCTAGAAGCATATGAAGTTGTTGCAAAAGCAACTGAAGATTTTCAAGCTCGTCTGACTGAAATAGGTAAATTGACACATGACTTTATTTCTTTGTTGTATTATGTGTGATTTGTGCTCTTTAAGTCGTGTGTTTTCTGCACACAGGATTTATAAGCTGCAGCAACCAGTCAATACTTGAATACGCTCGGAACGTAAATATTCTTTTTGCCAATAAAACTTGCCAGCTTTTGCTAGGAAGAGCACGAGAAATCATGAAGAAGAATTTACATGATATGATGGAGATTGGTCCCATTGTAAGTGAAGTAATCATTAACATTATTCAAACAGAAGACTCTTGAAGGACATACAATTTAACCTAAATATGACAGTGGCTTTTCCCTTGCTGCACATGTAATTGTTATGTTGTCATGACTGTTTTATGGAATTCAGCAGACTTTTGCTCCACTACAGTCAATATCTTCACTATGGCTGTGATGATGATGAGGTTGGCAAAATGTAGGCAAGGCTTTAAAAGACCTGCCTGCACATTTTAAAGTACATACAGTTTCAACATTATATGCTAGAAGAATAAATACAATTTTATTATAATTTAAACAGAATACAGATCCAATTGTACTGAAATTATAATCAGTTCACTACTCTCTGAAATTTCAGTCCAGTTTGAATATATTATTCCAGTTGAGGGATAAATGCAGTTCCCTTTCCTAGTAGCAAATACTCAAATGTTTGTCCAGTCCATCACTAAAATGTTATGTCGAGTGAAGTGGCATTTTTTCTTGGCAGATTCCATCAGTGGAGCTAGTAAAAGAAGAATCGGTGGACACAAAGCATTTTGACATTCTGAAACCAGAAATTAAGTTAAGCAACAATACATTTCAGTTCCCAAAATGCCAAATTAGGTAAGTAATACTGTGCTCCCATTTCTCGTAACTCCATAAACCACCACAAACCAGTTGACCATGATAAATGTGTCTTAATAACTAATTATTTCCAGTGATCATAATCCTCCTAGTGAAACTGATAACATTCTTAGCTGATCAAGAAATTCCTGCCTTTTTATGGAAACCATGGGTTCATTATCATGTTCACAAGAACCTGATACTGACCTGATCCTGTCCATACCCTCACATCATTATCTCCTCAGGACTAATATCCTTTCATTTATACATCTCACAAGTGATATCTTCAAATATTCTATATGCACGTCTCATCTCCCCCATATGTGCATGTCCTGTGCACCATTCTTGATGATTTTATCACTTTTTAAAAAAACAAAGATTACAAATTATAAAACTCTCATTATGTAATTTTCTGTCATCTGTTACTTCCTGTCTTTGCTCAAAATATCCTCCTCAGCTCCATTTTCTAATATACCTTCAATCTAAATTCTTCCCTTTATGGTGACACAGTTCCATATCCAAAGAATCAACAGATAGTTTTGTATACATTTTAATAATAAGAAGCAGAAAATACAACAGTCTAACAGCTCCTGATATATCTGAAGTCATACCTTAAATTAAACTTTCCACTCTCCCTGCTCATAATTATTCTTTCTGCCATATTTCATAAGATTTTGGCAGTTTATTCAGCATAGACAGACCTCTGAGTGTCCATTACATGTTTTCAGCAAGTCAGCACATGAGCTGTTGATGTTAGTGTGCGAGGTACTGGATGAAGCTGTACGAAGCACAGACTTTTGCGCCATCAGGTTGTTTTGCACAGCTCGAAACATCTTTGAACTGTATAGTGCTGTGATCCCAACCCACCACAAAAAGTTTCTTGAAACCATCCCCCAACAAGTCGGTGAGTTACTTGATCAAGATACAAAGCCAGTATTTCCGTACATCTTGGATTTGGGGTATACAATATAGAGAATGCAGTATGATAATTTATTTCAAACAACGAATTTAATATGATGATTATCTGTTGCTAGCTACAGAGAGTTATCTGCTATTTATTGAGGATTTGGGTCAGTATACGAAAGAGACCACAAATTTAAATTTCATTATCATTGTGGCAAAATTATAGCTTGGTTTGGATTGGACATGTAATTTATAATGATCACAACAATAAATTAACATAGGATTTTGGTGGGGAAGCCTCTTAGAAGTGAGCCAGGCATCAGCCAGTTTTTGTCATGTTTCAGCACTGTTTCATAACAACTGCATGTACTTAGCACATCGCCTTGTGACATTAGGTCATGAGTACAGCAGTAAATTTCCTGCAGTTCTCAAGTCACACACATCCACCTTCATCGATCAGGTGACAGTGTTACGTGAACTGGGGACTAGCACATTTCTGAAGTTCATGCAGGGACAACGAAAACAGATTCTGGATATTTTGAGGAACTCAGGTAAAATATATATCATGAATGGATTTTAATAAGATCCTTTCAAATAATATCCTCCCATGTTTACTCAGGCAGAGGATTTTTCCTCTAGCCTCTGCATCCAGACTGGCTCTGGGGCCCACCCAACCTCCTCCACAATGGGTACCGGGGGTCCTTTCTCGGGGGTAAAGCCGGCCAGGGCGTGGTGCTGACCACTCACCCCCATGTAGTGCCGAGGTCAAGGAAGAGAGGAGCTATACCTCCTCTCACCCCAAACGCCTATATGGCGTATAGCGGGACAAACTTTACTTTACTTTTACATGTTTACTCAGGTCTCCTAGTGGTCTCTTCCTTTTAGGTTTTCTAACCAGGATTTTTAACAGGACTCATTTCATATCAACCAATTTTCTACATTATATCCCTAAGTTGCAAGCAAAACATTCATAATGTGTCCCATCAGCTTAATGCTCCGGTGTATCAGAACTGTATTGTGTAACTTTAAAATTTCTGCTAATGGGAATGGATTCTTTAACATCCTTGTGTCTTGAAATGGATCCAGAGGCCTCAAAGTTCTTTAGACTTCTGAATATTTTACCATGTAACATTGGGTCAAGGTCTAGTGTGGTTAAAATTTTGCTCAAATAAAAAAACAACAGATTTCAGACACATCACCCAAAAATGTAGCAGGACAACAAATATTTAAGTCTTTAGTAACAGGTAAGCAACAATTTTGAATAATACCATTGCTGGTTCAGTACTGAATTACATATATACTTACTGTACAGGTTTAGCAACACTTGGAGAGGATCCAAACATTACACCAAGCATAGAGAGAGCTGTTCAACAATGTTTGCGGCAGCTGGAATTACTCCAGACAGTTTGGAAGGATGTTCTGCCTGCCATAGTGTACTGCAAAACTGTAGGTGAGATGGTTTTATGATAACATTGTATGTATGGTATGTATTACTGCATGTTCTCCAAAGTAACACCACTACTGTACATCCTATCTACTGGCTAGCAACCAGTTGCTGGGTGTTCAGGATTTTAATATGATTGCATATGAACAGTATCATGCTGACATTTAATTATATACAACATGTTGAATGAATGTACTAGACAGTATCCCAGAGTTGTAAAATATGAGCCTGAAGAAGTAAGATTGAGAAACCTTTATAGAAAAGAAAATATTGTCTTATAACAGGCCAAGTACGCCTATAATCAAAGTGCCAACCAAAATATGACACTTGCACTACATTGTTAGGTTGCCTGCTGAATGCATTGGTTGAAGAGCTCATAATCCGAGTAACAACTGTAGAGGATGTGCCAGCAACCACTGCTGTTCACTTGGTCACAGTGTTCAGCATTGTGATTGACAGAGCTCCACAAGTATTTCAGGTAACAGTATACCACATTTGGAGGGGGAAAACAATAAAAACTCATTCTGTGTAGCAGTCTTTCTTGAGAAGCTAATCGTCACTCATTTAAGAAATATGTTTTTACAGAACCTAAAGTTTCAAGTTGGTCAAGTGTTTTAACCCAGTTCCTTTCATTGTATTTATTGCCTAAATACAGAGACATATTTACGTCAGATTCTCCGGAACCGTGGTTCCACCAATTTTTACTTTACTTACTTACCAGTCACATATGAAATGAGTAAAGTCAATGAGACTCAAAATAAAATAAAAACAATTTGACAAATACTGGAGTACATCCTCCAAATGTAATTTGGGGTTTAATAACTCTATACCTGAATCTCTTCCTCTTCCATGAAGCTCAACAGTTTTAAAGTGTTACTACTAATATGATACCTGTTTCTCTTAGGAACCCAGCGAAGTGCATCAGTTTGTAAGAAGATGGCAGAAGTTCAGAGAACTGGTTCTCATTTTGGGGGCTAGTCTGAGAGACATTGATGACAGATGGGCTGATGGAAAGGGACCTCTTGCACATGAATTCACACCTGATGAAGTTAAGCAGTTAATAAGGGCCCTATTCCAAAATACAGAGAGAAGATCAGCCATTCTTGCAAGAATAAAATAAAGTCTGTGATAAATCCAATATCTTATATTACATCTTATACTACCCTGCAACAAGCATACTACAATTGTGCACACAAATTAAATGTTTAGATATTTTGGACAGACTGTAAAATTACAAGTATAAAGGACTCAAGCCTGCATATGTTGTTGACAGATGTGTATAAGACAGAACTTCACAAGTTCCACTATCCTTCATTGTTAGAAATATCAGCAGAGGTCAATAATGAAATCAGTGTGAGCAGCAGTGGTACTCAGATTGTAATGTCTAACCATATTAATGTGAACAAGATGATTCACTGCCCAACTCTGAAGGTACTTGGTAGAAGATTGGACTCCATATATATATATATATTCATTAAAATGTTGATTTGTGATTTTTAACATAGACCATGTAGAGAAACTAATAAAGTATTAATAAAAGGTGTACACTGAATATCCATACAGATGCTGTTTATCCTAAAATAGAATCAATCTTCTTGAAAGTGACTTATCATATCCAAGTTACTTTGTTTACCGATCTGGTCACATTCTTAAAATGAAATGTATAATTATGCAATTAGAAGGTGCGAGACTAAGACTGCAAAACACTGACATTTTGAAGAATGGCCAAAGTAAAATAATAATTCCAGGAGCTGGGTCATTAGATTCTTGACAAATGTAAGTTATGGGAAGGTTATGTTTACTCCCAGGAATATGATGATGAATTGTCATTTTGGATTTACTGTTAGTCCTATGAATAGTGGGTATCACTGGACAAATCTGGCTAATGTAAGTTAAGTAAGTAAAGTTAATCACTAGTCGTCAGGAAATTCCTTGCTAATTGTCCCCCTTTATGGTTTACTTAGCCATGCTGCCTGTAGCTCCAATTATGTTAGAGGATTCATGGGTAATGAATTCAGGAGGGTATATGAAGAGTTGCAAGATGAGAAAACCAATAAATTCCAGCTAATTCCTGCCCTGGACTGGCTGCATATCAAATGCAAAATGCAAGCCTAGATGTAAGGTACAAAAAAAAATAATTTTTTTTTGTAAGGGAAAATTGAGCCTTACACCCAGAGCATTCTTTAATCAAACTGTGATTGATGTTGTCCTATGACCTACTCATGTTTTCTGACATTTTTATATTCTATTAATTTCTCATGACCTATTGATGTTTATACTAACAAAGTTTTCAAAGCTACAAACCTGTTAAAACTTCAATCTAATACTGTCTTGACATACAATTTCTGCATATAAAATTGTTGATAGTTACTTACCAACAGCTTCTCTACATCATGCAGCCAATACTGGTCTCTGAAGATTGGACACCCAAGTGTACTTGTCTACTAAGATGTGATCAAATTGTCTTTCCATCAGAAATAATTCAAGCATACTTACAAATTTTGTACTGTGGGAACACTATACTCAGGACAAATGGATAATTTGATGTGACAAAGTTTACTGCTACAATTCCATTACTAGTTTTGTAAACTCATTCCCAACCAACACCCCTCACCTTTGCAATGAAATCAAGATGTTCATATGGTTAAAGAATTGATCAAATGCATGCTCTAGCTCCTCAAAACACCAGTCCTTTGTCACCACATTTTTGAACATACATTCAGATCATCACACCATCTCTTTGTATTAAATATTATACTACATTCCACCTCTAACAAATTACTCTTACAGCCACTTTAAACACAAAAGAAGAGCCATTCCCTATGATCAGCATTTCCAAATACAGGAATGTATCATGACGTTTGTTTAGTACCATTAATCACATATGACCCTTACTCCCACTAAATCTAACACTTTCTCAATACTCACAACTACGCTGCACATCTGGATGCCCTTCTCCACTATCCATGACCCAGGCATGTCATGTCCTGGTGATACCATGAAAATTACTTTTACTGTCTCCGAAGTAATCCTTCAATTCTTGAAGATTTCTGGGTTGTTGCGCTGTGTAGTCTGGTCGATGCTAACCAACATTTCAGAGGTCATACTGCCTCCGTCATCAGGGCGATGAATATCATTGCCCTGATGATGGAGGCAGTACGACCTCTAAAACATTGGTTAGCATCAACCAGACTACATGGCGCAACAACCCAGAAGACAGAAAGCTTCATACTAAGAATCGCCCTGATGACAGAGGCAGCTTGACCTCTGAAACGTTGGTAAACATCTACCATACTACACAGAGCAACAACCCAGAAATCTTCATACTCACCGCTGTGAAAACCTCAAATCTTACATGAAACTTTTTATTGCTGAAAATTAAATGTACTTCTCCCTAAAATTCTAAGTTTCTGGAAATTTTACAGCTCTAGGTCCAAAACTGTGATACTTTGCAAAATATTACTTTGAAATGAAAAAATTAAACAAATTTTTTTTCTGGCTGCCAGACCCCTTGGGGTCATATGACCTGCAAGTTTCCCCTAATGCTGCACCAAACCACATGACCACTATGCAGAATGTGGTCACCACTGGTCTTACTGGTCAGTGTTAAGTGATGACAGAATTCCAGGTAACAGCAGGGCACCAAAAGGGGAAAGGGAAGAAAGTTCATGAAGCATCAGACCTAGAAAGGCATTCTTTCACTGTCCTTAAATGAAGAGGCATGGACTAGAGTTTGTAGTGGGGAAAACATTCTTAGGGTGTACAAAATCATGCAAGCTAACCAACATCCTCAGCCTGTAACAAGCATACCTCACAATAAGTCAAGTATACTCAAGATATTCTTCCACTTATGTTAAAAGATGTAAAATCTCAACATATAAAGTTAGTAAAGACTAAACACATTGTTATAAAAACAGTTACTGTGATTAAATTGTGGGACCAGTGCAAAACCTGACAAACTTTACATACAACCCCCCTTTTCACCAGTGAAAATTTGACATCTGACAAATTAGAGTGTACCAAGGGTGAAAAAAGGATGTAGGCCATTAACAGTGGTATGTCATATGATTAAAAATATAATACCTTCACCAGCACATTAACAAAAAAGGTGACGAGCTGCAGCCAAGTGACTCATGCAAAGCAGCAGCAAAACCGCACATCATCTGATGTAATGTGTTAAGGGTAACAAAACTGATAAATTACAGAATATTATCCTGATGGAATGGCTCTTGAGGGCAAGGATTTAAAAAAACATGAAGACTCATAAAGATTACTGTTTATTCACTCATCTTCACATCCACCAGTGCAGAAAAAAAGGAACAATTTGAGCTGAAAGATTTAATGAGCATCCGATAAAACTATTGCTCAATTACATAGAATAGTAACAGTAATACTGAGAGTTCTATAAGTTTACCATTTGTAGTAATTTTAGTTATACCCTTCCTACATCTCCCTCCTTATGTTGCACAGAATTGAAGTAGAAGGTTACAAATCTAGCCATCACAAAAGTTTTAAAAAAATTCGTCCATTCATCACTTTAAGATACAATAATAATTTCAAAAGCATCCAATCACAAAATCCACATATGTAACAACTTTCTAACATGGCCAGTATCATACAGAATTGTATCTCTCCAATCTTGGTAGCACTGTAGAAAAACTGTAAAACCAAGTATAAACTACCTGCCAGCTCACACAGTTGAGTTTCACCCGTAACCAAATGCCAGTAATTACCTTTGAAGGGCTAATCCAAGCACGTGAAAACCCTTCACACACACATGCATTATAAAGCTTTTGCACTATCTTATGTGTAGGGATGACCTAATTTTGAGTCAATACAATTCCAGATCAGAGTTGAAACTTCAAATTAAAAAATTACTCAAAAAGTAGCAAACGTTTAGAAGATATTGCCATAATTTAGCACTCATTTAGACAAAATGCAGTATAATTTTCACTGGAATCCAATAACTGCTGAAAAAGAAAGCATTAGTTTGACATAATGGCAAAGTTTGGGGAACTGGATCCAATTTTCACACCATGATAGCAGATGGGTTCATGGAAATGGAGAGCACTTGTGAAAGAGTTAACACCAGGAGAAATGTAGTAGTTGATAAAAGCCTTACTCCAAAACACAAACCTTATCAACTATTCCTCTACACCCCATTCGAAGTACATTCAAAATTGAAGTTGCAATGTATGGGTTGTCATAGTGCTTTGCCTTCAAAGAGTGTGAGTTTCCATGCCGCACCTCTCCCTTCCTAAAATGGACAATAAATCTTGCTCACGAGTTCCCACAGAGTGGTGGCTGAACAACTGGGCGTTAGTTTTGGTTTTACATACTGTACATTTAAATACAATTTGCAGAGCTGTGTTAATCCATTTTAATTGCAAGATCCTCATGTTCTAATATCAAAGAGAAAAATACAAGCAGAGTAACTAAAAATACCACTGAACATGTATGGCATCATCTTTGCCAAAGATTCACAAATAGAACATTACTTTCACTTAAAACGGAAAATTATCAACATGTTTTTTCATCTTTATAATGTTACTTGTTCATAGAACTTGCCCTTTAAAACTTAGGTGAGCACGAAGACATGTGGGCAGTAGCTTACATCTCGAAGCTTTGACAACTCATGCGTAGAAATTGATCACATATGAACGTCGTATCGTTGAAACATTTTCCCCCTCTTTCTCTCGTAGATCAAATTCGTGGTCGTGAAGTTAGGGGGCTGTAAACATTGGAACACAAACACACGTCTATCATAGCAGCAAGTATGCATAAATGGTCGACAAGATCTGAGAATACTTTTACTGCTTTTCATGCATTATAATTTCAGCAATGTGAAATATGATGATAAACTCATTTGGCTTTTATGTAGAAAAATTATATTTCCATCATGCAGCCATTTCGGGGTGGTGGTTGTTGCAGTAGTAATAGCAATGTGTAGCAGTTACATGGAGCAAGTCATGCTATGATGTCTACATTGTTTGCAATGGATTACACTGATCTTCTGGTTTTCCCCCATCCCAATAACCAATATGAGTAGAGGAAATTTGGAGGGAAATACATGGAAGACAAGTCATTATATTATATCCCTCTTCAGAAAGTGAGGTTGAGAGTATGCAGTAAAGTGAACTGCACTGCAGATATATTAAAAGGTTCGTAGTACCTGCATCCTTTTTCGTTGCATCACGCCCCGTTAGTATGCATCACCTGATCGACTTGCACTGTAGCCAAACGAACCCTCAGAACTTCCATAGTCCCTGGAGCTGTAAATAGTTGCAGTAGTATTCGTAGGAAGGGGCGAAAATGACATCTACACATAGTCAGTCACAGTAACATAAATTACATAAATATATCGAAGCACAGTTTGTTGATCGCTGATAAACTGACGACTTTGCAACATCGGACTGAATTGTTTTAAATATCTTGGAAAATTATACGAGGCACATTTTGATTTAATACATTGCATAATACACTACTTTCGTGTTATTAAAATAGTCCACAAGAAAAAATGCCATGAGACGTATGCCTAGTCCGATGGAACACCTACATGCCTTCAATGGTGCTTATCGCAGGTAACAGGACAAGTCACTAATGCACGAGAAATTATTTGCAATCGATGCTGGGGGTACTTTTCACCCATATGTATGCACTATCATGTTTAATATGGACTGCAAATTGTCTCATGACAAATGCGTTCTTTTTTCTTGCGAAGATTCGTATATGTTGTGTTAACGTTGAGTTTAACTGGATAAATACCTGCCACGCCCCACTGGCGATCGACTGCGATACCTTGAAGACCCAGAATCTCTGCCACCACCGTAGTAATCGTTTCCATAGCTGTCACCTCGGCCACCATTGCGATCGTAGTCTCGGCCGCCTCCATAACTTCCACG